TGTTTGTCCATGCAATACATTTTGACTGAACAAAAAAAAATTTAATTTCCCAAAATACCTTACAGGTTTGGAATGACATGAAGGTGAGTAAAAGATGAAAGAATTGTAATACTTGGGTGAACTATCCTGATTAATATTCTCTTGAGATGGGTGAAACACACACACACACACACACACACACACACACACACACACGCCTGCTGTCATTCCCACACTCAGGCAGCCCTGCAGAGTGCTTCTCAAGTATCCACTGCCCATTTTTGAAGCTCACAAACTTATCCTTCACTACCCACGAGCGATTGTGGTGAAGCAGAGAGCTTCGGTTGGGAATGGCAAGCTTCCATTCGCATGTTTCGCCTTCATGCCGCTCCTGCTGGCCACCCCCTGTGTATGTGAAGAAAAGAGAGCTGGACTAGAAAAATACTCTGTGCAAGTACACAGATGTTTGGTTTGATCTCAAGGGGGCGCTAGAGTTACTGTAAAGTGAATGTTTTTTTCAGGTGAATATTGATAAACATCAACTTGTAAAAGAAGACTACACTGATGTGCTGTAGCGCCCCTTGTGGCAAAGTTTAGAATGCAACACATATATGCGTTTTGTTACGAGCTTGTTTAGCTTGAAGCGTTTGCGTTCATATACTTGCAAAGAGTGCGATTCAAGCCTTATAGAGTGTGGAATCAGCTTTGCTTTGAAGCGTTGATAGCTGCGAACCACTGGCTACGAGTATGTTTTTGAAGATGAGCTCTTGTCTTTAATGTAACTTATTTGATTTACTTTGTAGTGCTTTGTTCTCAAAAATGCAGCTGGATTAAAGGACCTCCACCATTGTTTTAAACTGTAGACATGGCAGAGCCCAATCAGGGAGACAAGTGCAGTATTATATAATGTAAACATTCAAAAAAATGCTAAATTTGAGTAGTTTATCATATAGCATACGTACATTTTTGCAGTTTCTATATTTTCTGAGTTAAATGGATAGCTCACCCAAAAGGGAATATTCTGTCATCATTTCTCACCCTCGTGTCATTCCAAACTTGTAGGACTAATTCTTTTGCAGAGCACAAAAAAGGCTTTGAAGAGTGTTTCAACTGTGTTTGTCCATGCAATACATTTTGACTGAACAAAAAAAAATTTAATTTCCCAAAATACCTTACAGGTTTGGAATGACATGAAGGTGAGTAAAAGATGAAAGAATTGTAATACTTGGGTGAACTATCCTGATTAATATTCTCTTGAGATGGGCATGTGAACTAGCGACTTTTCTGAACCAAGTATGCCATGTTTACAAGCCAACTGTTATTAAGCTACTAAAATTTAGATCCCAGTTAATTGGGTTTTAGTTGCACCCTTTTTTGCACAGTATTTGGACTCATTGCATGTGTACACTACCATTGACAAGTTTAAGGTTAAGGCTTTTTTTTTTTGACAGCAAGGATGAATTAATTTGATTAAAAGTAACAGTAAAGACTTTTACATTAAAATCCTGTTTCTCTGAACTTTCTACACATCAAAGAATCCTGCAAAAAAGTTACGATTACCACAAAAATATTAAGCAGCACAACTGTTTTCAAAATCGATACGAATAAGAAATGTCTACTGAGCACCAAATCAGCATATTAGAATGATATCTGAAGGATAATTCTGCTGAAAATTCATCAATAAATTATATTTAAAGTGCATTCAAACAGAAAACAATTCAATTGTAATCAAATTTTATAATATTACAGTTTTAGCTGTATTTTCGATCAAAGAAGTGCAGCCTTGGCGAGCAGAAGAGACTTTCAGAAACAATACAAATCTTACTGACCCCAAACATGTGAATGATAGTGTATTAAAGGCTTCATAATTATGTCCATCGTCACTGTCTTTTTCTTGTGTGTATTTGAAGGAACACCTTAGGGCTAGATGATTATAGTAGCTACTTTCTAAGATTCCCAAATTCTGTACGTAGCATCTTTGTTCTTACAATATTTCTTGGGTTTTGTGTTTCAGGACTCTGATTCGCCCCGGCACTCCACTGCCTCCAACAGCTCCACCTTCAGCAGCCCACCGAGCCCCGCCTCCCCGCACAAGACAAAGTCCCTCTCACTGGAGAGTACAGACCGCACGGCATGGGACACATGATGGACTCAACAATGAACCAATCACAACAAACTCTGAGTCTGCCCCTCCCAGGCACTACAGGCCACTCCCACTTAATTTGCATAAGGGAACATACAAAGGAGAACCCACATCAACACGAGAGTTTGTATGTTTGAGCGACCAGGACACGCAGAAGCTGATTGGAGGAAAAAGTGGAAGTTAATTCTGGATTTGAATGTGACTGGTGTTTGTACATAGAGCGGGTTAGGGGTGAACTTTTTATTTATTTAGCATTCAGCCATTTCAAGGTGGAAAATACTGTCACGTCCCTCACTCTGTTCTTCAGCTGTGGACCGTACGGGAATGATGATTCCATTATAGAATCCCACAAAAAAATGCAATGATGTATATTTTTTATTTGCTTTTAAAAGTGATGTGTGCAGTGATTCGTTTGTTACTTCAGCTAAATGGATGAGAGACCGCAGATATCAGGCGACCTCATCTATCGCTTCCTGTCCTAGATTTGTAGGAATTTCTAGAGGCTTTCTGACACGACGTCTCCACGTAATCCGAACCTTCCGTGAGCCAACATGACCTGTGAAAACGCTTCACAGTAATGTACATAGGTTAAAAGTATAGTATAATATATAATAAGGAAATATTGAAGAGATAAACTATGTGGGAAAAAAAAATCTCATTGTTTTTATTTTTTTTTTATTATTTTAATATACTCGCGCCAAGACCATTTAAAAAGCTTTAGTTGCGCCATTTCTTTTATTTTTGGTTTATGAGACGGTACTGCCTTGTGTATTTTAATTCTTTGTCATCAGCTTTTTTGTTTTTAAATAACAGGAATTTTAAGATTTTTGTGAGACACAGGCCAAGCTGTTTTACTACAAGCGTGCTTAAACTTGACTGAAACTGTACAAATATCAGCAAGGTTGCATACAAATATCATATTTCTGCAATCTAGAAACTGTTAAGTCCAAATTGTGGAACTGGTCCAACATGTAATCTTGAGATTTGCAGACAGACAAAAGACATTTCGTTTTGTTCCTGGATGGTTTCATCTAATGTTACACTATGGGAAATACTTTGCTTCACCCACATAGTTTGGCTCTTTCTACCTTGGAAAAATGTATTTTCAGAAAACTTTTTCATGGATAATTCAGTAATTTTAACCCGTTAAGTGTTAAAACATTCACCACTGCTATTAAATGTAAGGTTAAACTTTACCATTAAAATCTATTACAAGAATCTGCTCCCACAATGCCAGGATGTATTTGTCATTATGTAGTTGTCAGATTGCGTTTCTTGTGGTTCCAAGGGCATTTATTCCATGAAATGTTTCAAACTTCGTCTAATAAGCGACACAGTCTTCACTTTGTTCCTTATTCAGTTTGCAGTTGCACAAGAAAGTGAGTCTCCCGCCTCATGCAGGCTTCACGACTTGATTTCTGCACCAGATTCAGTTCCTTCTATAAAGTGGGAAACTCGGTTAATTTGATTAATTTGTTAAAAGGTTTACAATCAAATTAAATCTGTAGTAAGCAACAGCAATGGAACAAAAAAAACATTTGGGTGGAAACCTAATAGACCTCCGGTAAAATGAAAATGTCTTTGCATTTCAGCAACCTCTTAGACATTACATTTATCTGCTCATTCTCATCTCACTTCATTCTTTTTTCAGGATAATGCTTTGTAATCATTTGTACAGTTTCGCATGTCATAATTGATCATTCCATATGTTTCATGCTTGTATTTTGTTTCTCACTCACTTGACAAAGGTGGATATCACTTCAAACGAGGAGGAATCGTTTTGCACAGATGTAAGGTCAATCAAAGACTGGATAAACTGGCCACTATGCATATATGGAGACGTTACTATATTAACCTGACGCTGATGTAATTCAATAAACGGAGGGAAATGACACACACGGATATGAACGTTTTGAGTGATGTTTTATTTTATACAGAAAGCACTCAGGATCTCTGAACATGATATAAAAAAAAAAGCTTTTCACAGTTTTCGGTAAATGTCATGAAAATGACTTGACTATTGACTTAGTGCTAAAACTCAACAGAGAAGAGCTTGGTTGTAAAGGATATGCCAATTTCCATTTGAAAAATGCCTACAATATCTATTCTAAAATGACTGACGATTTTTTTTTATTCAGCTCTTCATGCTTTTCAATTGGATATTTCACATAAAAATGATGAAATTATTTTAATTTTCTCACCTTCAACTTTAAGACATTGGCACTGGAAACAATTGACACTTGGCATTGGAAAGAATTATTGACTGAATAAATGTTTTCTTTTTTTCCCACAGATATCAGAGGACTTGCAATGTAATGCAAGTGAGTCATTTATGTTCTATGGTGCTTTTTTGTCATTTTTGTAGCTTTACAGCCCTTTGTCACTATTCACTATCATTGTATGGAAACGAGAAGCTTGTACATTCTGCTAAACATCTCCTTTTGTCTTCCACAGGAAAAAAAGAAAATCATACAAGTTTGAAATGTAACAATGGCGAGTAAATGATGACAACATTTTTGGGTGAATTGTCTATTTAAATTGAACCCAAATGTGTGGAGATGTCCGTATACATCACTAGTTCTGTTCTACAAAACGGTCAAAAGTGCAACAAACAATGGAAAGAAACATTCAAAACCACATCAGTAGTGGAACAACTTAGAAAGCTTAAAGCATGGGGAGTATATAAAACAGCAAGTTCCTCGATACATCACAGAATGATGACGTATCAAAAGCCCTTACATTTGACCCTGTTATTGTAGGAACCCTTTAAGAAGAAAAGATAACAGTACATACATAGACTACCATTCAAAAGTATGGGGTCGGTAAGATTTGAAAAGAAGTTTATTATTCTCAGCAAGGCTGCATTTATTTGATCAGGAGCATTCATTTGAAATAGAAATCTGTAGAAAGTACTGACCCCAAACTTTTGAATGCTAGTGTACATCAGAAGATTTCAAGTGTTTGGTATAGTCCATAACTGAACTATACAACTTTTGATCGAAAGTCTTAAAGTAAATGTATTCATTAAGTTCATGTAGCTCAACTAGTAGCACAAAATGCTAACAGCTGCAAGGTCATGGGTTCAATCCCCAGGAAACGCACATGGCACACTGTGTAGTTTGAACACTTGTATTTGTGCCATACATCACGAGGAGTTTGTGCCAGAAGAGTCCATGTTCTCTTGACTCATTTGGTCTCTATTTCCTGCCGTGTGAAAGTTCACGCCTTGGTGGCATCCTCCTCTATGACGCGGTGAATGCCGTTGCCAGGGCTGCTTTGGATGGCCTGTGCTGTGATGGAGAGGTCTCGCACGCTGCTGTGCCGTGATTGGCTCTCTAAGCGCTGCAGGCTGCCGTGCCGTGAATGGCTGTCGAGACGGTTGACGCCACAGTGCTGGAGCGGATCATTAAGGCGCAGGGTGCTCCCGTGAGGAAGACGCTCCTCCACGCCGCGATAACTACAAGCTGTGTACCTGATGGGAAACATAATGAGCGAGATTCAGTGATGTTCAGAGCTTTGATCAGGGAGGCAGCTGTGCACAATTGGGAGGCGCTATTATTTTGGGAAATTTTCTAAAGTCGGTTTGAAAATTCAGGCCATATATTTTGTAAGTACATGTTATAGACCCTATTTTGAACGATTCATCAAGTATTTATTTTTGAAATAGGTTTTTTCAATGTTTAATCAGAATGTCACTTGATCTGGTGATGTATGTCGGTCGGACTTCTTCAATTATTAAACTGCCGCTGCACTATCGACATTGATATTTGTGTGCAACACCTACATCTCAAACTCTAACCAAAATTAACAACTGACATGTAGAACCAAGTCCTCACCCCACAGTTTTTTCTTCATTACATCCGTTTCACTGCAACATTAATTTTGGATATCTAGGCTAGTAATTGAAAGGTTGTAGGTTCAAAGCCCACAATGCATGACCACTCTGCACATTATTTGTAGAGGATTTCTTATAACAACTTTATTATTATGCATTATCTGTTTTTTGCATGACTGTTTATTAAACAGTCTAACTGGCATTTTGCAGATCCCCAAAAATCAGTATAAATTATGCTAAAAAAAGGTTATTTTGAGTGCAATGGCCACATCTTAAAATCCAATCAACAACCGATGGATGGAACCACCCTAATTTCTTAAGTCTTTTTCTATATCCCGTTTCATTCGGATGTATGCAGCAATAAGGAAGAAAAGAAATGTTGCTGCTTCCATTTTATTACAAGTTTAATATTGGATATTCATGCTAGTAATTGAAAGGTTGTAGGTTCAAAGCCCACAATGCATGACCACTGTGCACATTATTTGTAGAGGATTTCTTATAACAAGTTTCATTCACAAATTATGCATCACCTGTTTTTGCATGACTGTTTATTAAACAGTCTAACTGGCATTTCGCAGATCTCCAAAATATGCAAAAAAAAAAAAATTTTGTGCAATAATCACATCTTAAAATTCAATCAACAACCAATGGACAGAACCAAATCCCCACCTAATTTTTAAAAATCTTTTTCTATATCTGTTTAATTTGGATGTATACAGAAGAAAATATCTTTTGCTGCTTCTGTTTCATTGCAACTTTAATATTGGATATCTAGGCTAGTAATTGAAAGGTTGTAGGTTTAAAGCCTACAATGCATGAGCATTGTGCACATTATTTATATAGGTTTTCGTAAAACAACTTTTATTAACAAATTATTATGCATCACCCGTTTTTTGCATGACAGTTTATTAAACAGTCTAACTAACTGGCATTTTGCAGATCCCCAAAAATCACTGCAACATGCAAATAATTGCAATGCCCACATCTCAAAATCCAATTAACAACTGATGGATAGAACCAAGTCCTTGCCCTCATTTTTTCTTTTCTGATTATCCATTTAATTCAAATGTATGTTGCAATCCAAAAAAAAAAAAATTGGTTGTTACTTGCATTTCATGATAACTCTAATATTGAGTATCTAGGCTAGTATTTGGAAGGTTTTAGGTTCAAAGCCCATAATGCGTGACAATTGCGCACTTGATTAATTTACAAAGTTCTACGCAGTTCCTGTTTCTTGCACGTCTTAGTAAATACACTTACTAACTTGCATTATGAAGGATCCCCAAAAATCTGTGCCAATTATGCTAAAAAAAAGTCCTCCGAATTCCTACTCGTGAGATTGAATTATAACTGGGATGCCTCACCTGCCGTCTCTGGAGCGCTGCAGGCTGCCGTGGAAGCTGCTTGATTTGCTGCGCATGCTGCCCGCGCGGCTGGTGCTGGCGCTGGGGGGCTCGTCCAACATGGCGAGGTGCGTGGAAGAGGCATGGGTGGAGGTGCCCTGTGTCGAGGTGCCTCTAGACTTCCTCACCACTGGGGTGTTGGGGTCCCTGAGGAGGAGCTGGGTGAAGTCGGGCTCCTGTAGCACCTGCCTGCTCTCGTGCACCGTGCTGCTGAGGGTGGAAGAGACGGGGGGGAAACGTGGCAAAGTGGGAAGGGAGCGACAGAGGAGCGAAGGAAGAGAGAGGGGGAAGGCAGAGGGCATAAAGGAGTCGAAATGAACAAAAGAGGAGGGGGTGGGACAAGGGGAGGGAGAGGAGGTTAATGCCCTGATATAAGGAAAGGAGGCCTTTACACTAACCCCTATGAGACAGCACACACTTATTGAACTATTTCCTGTGGCTACTTCATGTCCTCCATTAAGTGTCTTTATTGCACTGCAGGTCTAGTAGTAATTTTATTAAAATGCACACTGACTGAATTACTTCCTGTGGCTACTAGCATGTGGCAGATACACGATATATATCTGAACCATTTCTGTTAATGGATGATACTAGATACTACATTTTTGATATTTAATTGTTTATGCTCATTTTCTCTATTTTTAAATTTAGATTACTTTTTAAAATTAAAATGTTAAAATTAATCTTTGAAAACATTTATAATTTCAAAATGAATATAAAGTATTCATACTGCAATTTATAATGCTCTGATGCCTAAATTTACGTGTAGTATTTAAATGATTTTAAATGTGAGTTAATATATTTAACTAACTACCCTACTGTTCAAAAATTTAGGGTTAGTAAGGTTTTTACACGGTTTTATAAGAAATTCCTCATGCTCACCAAAGCTGCATTTATTGCTTAAAAAATATTATTACAATTTAAAAGAAATGTTTTCTATTTCAATGTATTTTAAATAGTGCTGTCAAATGATTAATCGCATCCAAAATAAAAGTGTTTGTTTACATAATATATGTGTGTGTACTCTGTATATTTATTATGTATATATAAAGACACACATATACAGCATATATTTTGAAAATATTTACATGTATTTATGTATATATACAGTATTCATATAAATTATATAATATATATATTGAATATATAAACGTAACATATTTTTCTTAAATATATACATGCATGTGTTTGTATTTATATATACATAAATAAACACCGTACACACACATATATTATGTAAATAAAAACTTTAACTTTGGATGTGATTAATCGCGATTAATCGTTTCACAGCACTCATTTTAAAATATAATTAATTCCTGTGATGTCAAAGCTGAATTTTCAGCAATAATTTCTCCAGTTTTTAGTGTCACATGATCCTTTAAAAACCCTTCTAATATGTTAATGTAGTGCTCAAGAAACATGTATTATCAAGGTAAAAAATGCATTTTTGTAAAAACCATGATATGCTTTGTTAAGGATTATTAGGATGAATCGAAAGTTCAAAAGAACAGAATTTAAGATAAAAACCGGTCACTGTCACATTTGATCAACATAATGCACCCTTGCTGGATAAAAGTATTCACTTCTAATGAAAAAATCATACTGGTGGAAAAAATATGAAAAAAAAAATCATACCCAAACCTTTGAACAGAAGTGCATTAAGGTAGTGTATAAATAAATAAAATCAGTAAGAATTTTAATATTGTTACATCTCTACTTAAAATGACTTTCAAGGCCTTTATCAGTTTATGTTTCTTGAAAAACGTTTTTTGATCACACAACATTGCACTGTAGGCCTAAACAATAATGGTATAAATTCTCAAAGTATTACACGAAACTCACTCTTTCCTGCGATGCCCATTGAAAAAACTGGCCCACTCGAAGCAGGTCTTTTTACTGCCGACCCAAAACACTGACGGGATTCCCACCACCAGCATCATCAGGTACTTGATGAGGAACAAGGCGATATCTGGCCTGCTCGTCTGTTCCACCTGTGAAGACAACAGCAGTACACATTTGCTTAGTATGCAACATAAGAACAGGTGAAACCTGATTTGTAATCAGAACATGCAGGAACATTCTTCCCTTGCGGATCTCGGCGTTTGCTCATAACCTCATGCAGTGTGTGCGGGAGCGTATTTGTGTATGTCAGTTTAGCCCTGGGTTGTGTGTGTGCGATTGTGTGGATGGGAAGTGCTTTATCTCAGCTCACTGCACAATTGCCAACGGCATAAACATAGCTGCAGTCAACACAAATGTCTGTCCTCTTCTTTATCTAATACACACTCTCTCTCTCAGTGCTTTAGATGGAGCATTTCTTCTGCTCTGAATGCTGTCAGCCTGTCTTGGTAATATTTTGATATATAATGCAATATAACAAATAGATTTATACATTCTTTAGGGTGTCCAAATCTGTATGACATCATCAGTTACTGCAGTGTGACTAGAGATCTGCTCTTTATAGCCCTGCACTTCATAGCTCTTCATGAAGTACTGCTACAGAATTAACATGACACACGACTGTCCTTTTTGCTCCACCTCAAAGCACAGAAGCTGTGGCAGTAAACATGGCCTCATTAAAACCAATCCCACAATCCCAAGCTGCCTCAGGCATGTACACACACACACACACACATATGGATAAACATCATTACTGAGATTTTGACTGAGCTGAAGCTGTCTTTAGTTTTTAGTTATGCTTCAGTTTGTTTGCATCATGTTAGACATATGATATATTCACAGAGCAGCAGCTGCTGTATGTTTAACAGAGATTTGCAGCTGGAAATCATGAATCCTGTGTCTGAAAGATGCACAAAATTTGCAAATCGGGGGCCTTTTTTCACCCCGTTTTATGTCAAATGCATAAGTATAAATAAGGAAAACAACGTTACCAAAAAACTAAAATTCAATATTTAGATTTTCTCTGGGATTTGTTTCACTTTTGATGGCATTTTTACCCTGAGCTTCCATTCATTTCTGACCCTGGATGAAGATCACAGGTTTGGTCACAAAAACTTATAATTTGCACACATTTTTAAGCATTGCGGTTTAAAAACAAGTGATTTGAAGCTGTTGAAATGCAATCAGCAGCGAATGAGAAATCATTTCGCTATATGCACACTGTCTGAATGCTGTCAGAGAGGCGCACGCACGTGAAGATGGTGTGGCGGTATTGAACTTATTTTTGGCGCATTATAGGCTTGAACAGTTAAATACACACACTTGTATGTCAAAATCTCTCACTGCTCTTGACTAAATCACTTTTTTAACTTTAATCACTTTTATAACGTCAATAAGAAGAAATATATATTTAATTTACACAGTGAAGAATATGCAGTGTCTTTATACATTTAATTACTTTATACAATGTATGTAGCATTTCTTATTTATTTGTTCTACTGTAGTTTTTTGTCCTATTGCTTGAAATTAGGTTCCTATTCTTATGTAATCGCTGACTGTTTGCTTGTCTTCAGTGAGATTGAGTTTATTTAGGCTAGCATTAGTTTTTTGTGATATTTACACTGGTGACAAGATTTATGAAATTTCTATGTATCAAAATTTTTGATACCAAAGACCTTATTTAAAGTAAAAAATAACTATATTGCAAACACTAAAACCTTTTCTCATATAGAGTGAGGACAGGTTTGGCAGGACACTGTGGAGGCCTTCAATTATTCACAACAAGCAAAGTAGTATAAATTCACTTTTATCAGAACAAACATCATGAAAGGTTCTGACTTGGTGTAGATAATCTTTTTTCCTATTAACACTGTACAAAGTTCACATTAAAAAATTGTCATTATATATGCTAAAACAATTGCTTATTTTTAGGACAATATAACTATACACACTACTGTTCAAAAGTTTGGGGTCAGTATAATTTTTTGAGCAACAAATCAGCATATTAGAATGATTTCTGAAGGATCATGTGACACTGAAGACTGGAGTAATGGCTGCTGAAAATTTGGCTTTGCCATTACAAAAATAAATTACATTTAAAAACATATACAAATAGAAAAGAGTTATCTGTATTTACAGTTATCTGTATTTTTGATCAAATAAATGAATGAACATAAGATACTTCTTTCCAAAACATTAACAACCTCAAACATTTAAACGGTAGTGTAAGTATTTATATATAGTGTACTTATATTTATATAGTGTACATATCTTCTTACCTTAAACGGACAGGGGATGTGATACTCTATACAGCGCTCCTGTACCCAGGTGGTCTCCCAAACTGCTCTGCGGCTCTGTTCATACAGATAGCATCCAATGACGGTCAGCAGAGGCACCAGATACAGGACGGAGAACACGCCGATCCGGATCATGAACTTCACCAGTTTGTCCTGGTTCTCCTTCTCGAGGGGAATCTCCATCCGGACCCTATTTAATGCGGCAATACCCGCTAACAGCAGCACCACACCTACGACCACATCCAATGCGAGAGGCACCAAGAGGAACCAGCGCAAAGCCATGAGGTCATAGAGCCCCACGAAACAAACGCCGCTCATGCTGTCGCCCTCGATTTTGTTCATAGCCATGAGGGTGATAGTAAGGGCTCCTGGGACGCCCCAAGCCACCGCATGGAACAGCAAAGCCTTCTTCTCGATAGCTTCACTTCCCCATTTGGGAACGGCAGCCAGGAACCAGGTGATGGTGAGGATGACCCACCAAACGCTTCCTGCCATGGTGAAGAAGTAGAGTGTCATGAAGAGCAGCGTGCAGGCCTTGTTGTGGGATCCCTGGGTGACGGTGGAGGCACGGAAACGACCCGGGCTAGCCGCGTTGCATGACACGCGATCCTCCAGCAGGAAACCCAGGAAGAAGACCAGGGACACCATCATGTAGCAGACCGCGTAGAAGATGATGGGCCGCTCCGGATAGCGAAAGCGGCCAACATCGATGAGGAAGGTCAGGAAGGTGA